GGGAGGGGTGGCCTGGAGGCAGTGGCGGGGTCAGCACGGGCCACCGAAAGCGGGGCCATGGAGCCCGGGGAGACGGGGAAGGTAGGACTGGAAGGGCCCTTGGGCCGCCCACTCCCCTCCCGTGGATCCCTGATCCCGGCTCTGGCGAGGCGGGCGGCGCTGGCGGAGGCCCCGCAGATGAGCCAGCCTTGCAGGCAAGGACTCGCCTGCCCGCCCCCACTTTCTCCGCACTGGGGCGGTCGCCTCTGGGAGGGTGGCGGAGAGGGGCGCGGACGCACCCGTCCCGAGTCCCGCGCATCCTCCGGTCTGCCCTCCCTCCCGTTCCCGGCCGCCTGCCTTCCCTCCTTCCCGCTCGCAAGAGGCCTCTCCGCCGATGCTGGGTTGGGAGACCCGCTAACTAGGTGGAGTGCTGCGACGGGGCTTCCGGTTGCCCTTCACCTCTGTTGGTGTTTTGAAGAGGGTCGGCTTATTTTAAGACTCCGAGGCTGATGAGGACGCCAGTGGGAACCAGTGTGGGAGAGGCGGGATGAGGGCCTGGCCCTGCCGAGATCCTCCTTCCCAAGAAAAGCCTGAAAAGAAGGGGCATCTGGCATAGTTCTTGCTGACTTCTCTTTCTAGGTTATCTTCTTCATGGAATGTCTGGGCATTAGAAGCATATTTCATAAATTTGCTTCTAGCTTTGGGCAGGAGGCCTTGAGGTGGAAGAAAAGGTGGGGAGAAAGTGCTTGGAGTCTAATGGGTTCGACAAGATTAGCGCTAGAACTCTCAGGCAGTGTCAGCAAAGACCAGTATGTTTGAAGGCACATTGACTTGGAGACAGTGGCAGCCTCTTGGGACTAACATCTTTCTGGATTTTTTTTTTTTTTTTTTGGCTGCCATTTCTTAACAATTCTTTCTTCTCTGGCACAGAGGGAATTCTCTCAACAAACATTTTCTAGTGCTTATCGAGTCCCTTCTTTTAAAAGATATTGTTCACTTAATAAACATTTGTGATCTGTGGTTTGCATTGAGTGAAATGCTGGAAGTACAAAGATGATTAGGAAATGACCACTTTCCTCCAGGAACTCTCCAGCGGTTTTCACTCAATATCCCTGGAAGGGTTGTCCCACATCAAAAGAGAGGAAGGATAACAGGGTTATTTTGATGCTATAGTTTTTCCTGCAAAATACTAGGAAGGACTCTGAATTATAAAAAATATTTTCTTGCTTGAACTTCTCTTCCATCCTTCCTTCCCTCCACAAGCTACAAGTATGTGTTTTCCAGACACAACAGCCTCAGAGTACACGATCCAAGACAATAAAACTCCACAGAAAGGTTGAACGTGAACTATGTTCCAGCCTTATGTTAAACACTATGGGAAATACAAAAAAAGCAAAGGAAATGGCACTTACCCTTTGTTAGTATCTCCAGATTAGTTTAGATTGAACCTGAATTTGAATGAGAAGGAGCAAAATATAAGGGGAAGAAGGATTACAAAATATTGGAATTAGTGATTTGAGGTTGATTTCCAGGCTATTCTGTTCAGTTGTAGGCTTTCTTAGCCTTTAATGGGTGAAGAGAGAATTATAGTCATGTGCTTCTTAACATTTCAGTCATCACGGATCCCATATGCAACAGTGGTTCCATAAGATTACAAAGGAACTGACAAATTCCTGTTGCCTACTGACTGTCTTCATGATCCTGACCCTGTGTAAGCCTAGGCTAGTGTGTATGTGTCTTCATTTTTCATAAAGTTTTAAAAGTTAAAAATCTTAAAAATGAGAAGCCTACGGAATAAGGATATAAAATTTTGTACAGCTGTACGATTTTTTTGTGTTTTAAGCTAAGTGCTGTTACAAAAGAGTCAAAGGTTTTTTTTTAAGTTTATAAAGTGAAAATGTTACAGGAAGCTAAGGTTAATTTATTATTGAAGAAATTTTTAAACTACATTTAGTGTGACCTAAGTGTCCAGTGTTTTATATAAAGTTCTCTATACAGTGGTATACAGTAATGTCCTAGACCTTCACATTCACTTGTCACTCACTATCAGCTTGAAGTCCTATAAGTTCCACTTATGGTAAGTGCCCAATACAGGTGTACCATTTTTTAATCTTTTTTTTTTTTTTTAGTAGGAGTCTCACTCTTGTTGCCCAGGCTGGAGTGCAGTGGCACTCTCATGGCCACTGCAACCTCAACCTGCTGGGCTCAGGCGATCCTTCCACCTCAGCCTTCCAAGTAACTGGAACTATAAATGCATGCCACCATGCCCGTCTAGTTTTTGAGATTTATTGTAAAGATGAGATCTCACCAAGTTGCCCAAGCTAGTCTCAAACCCCCGCACTCAGGTAAGTCTCTCACCTCGGCCTCCCAAAGTACTGGGATTACAGGCTGAGCCACTGCCTCCAGCCTAATCTTTTTTTTTCTTCCATATTTTTACTGTACTTTTTCTATGTTTAGATTCGCAAATACTTCCTATTGTGTTACAGTTGCCTGCAGTATACAGTACAATAACATCTTAGGTTTGTAGCCTAGAAGCAATAGGCTATACTGTGTAGGCTAGGTGTGTCACAACAACAGAATTGCCTAAGGGCAATGTCCCAGAGTATATCCCTGTTGTTAAGCTGCACATGACTGTACAAACATTTGGGGAGGGAGAGGAAACATTTGGTGTATTTTTCAGTTCTTACCATTAGTTGAAACCTCTGGGGACTGGAAATTTTACCTTTGATTTGAATCTTAATTGTAGGGTGTCTCAAAAAAGTGCTCACCCTTCCCAAGTATATCTGTTGTCTAACCTGGGTTAGAACGTTATCCCAAAATGAAATAAAGTGATTGCAAAATCAATTGATAGTGTAAGATGTACAAGTATTGCAAGTGAGTGACAATGATGACGGCCTGCATAGAGTAGCTGTGCCGTTCCACACCTCCATTCTGAACTTTTTTTGTGGGGGAGGCTCAAAACTGGGAGACTGGTGGTCCTCTTGAAGTAGTGGCTTAGTCTATTACTAGAATTTTCTTTTCGTGCTATTTTGTGGTCTTTATTAACTAAAAGCAATCTTGAGGCATTGGATTGACTCCATGTGGGATATCTTGCCTGCTATTGGCAGAGTAATGGATAGAGATTATACTTTTTCCTATCATGCTGTATCCCTATCATGCTGTCTTGTCATATTTTCCTCCCAGCCTTTTTGTCTGTACAACATTCCCACATTTATTTATTTACTTGTTTGTTGACTCTTTTTTATATTTCCAGCTAGAACAGTGGAGCAGTTCCCGGCATTAAATAGTTTTTCAGGAAAGACTGGCACAGCTGGGCTCGGTGGCTCAGCCTGTAATCCCACACCTTTGGGAGGCTGAGGTGAGTGGAATGCCTAAGCCCATGGGTTCAAGACCCGCCTGGGCAACTTGGCGAGACCTCATCTCTACAATAAAAATAAAAAATCAGCCTGGCGTGGTAGCACATGCCTATAGTTCCAGCTACTTGGGAGGCTGAGGCGGAAGGATTACCGGAGCCCAGCAGGTCGAGGCTGCGGTGGCCGGGAGCGG